GTGAGGGAGGGAGGGAGGGAGGAAGGGAGGGAGGGAAGAAGAGAGGACTGGTTAGCTGAGGGCCTCAGACTGCGATGGGCCTCCCCATAGAACCGAGAGGAACAAACACCTGGAAGGACTAAGTCATAATTTGGGGGGAACTTTAAATAATAATGAACTTTTAAAAACAAGAAGCACCCAGCTGGAACAATGAATACCAATGCATTTATTTTACATTCTTCACACTCATTCTGACAAGACAACATCAAATGAACCAGATTTCAAAAGGTAAATCATAGTGGGGCATTTTTTTTTAAGCAAACACATCCTTTAAAAAAACACAAGTTTTTAAATTTTTTTTTAGAGAGAGAGAGAGAGAGAGAGAGAGAGAGAGAGACATGGATGTGAGCGTGCCTCCTGCGTGCTCCCCTGGGGCTGGGCTGAAACCCGGCATGTGCCCCAACCGGGAATCCAACCAGCAACCTTTGGGTCCACGGGACAATGCCCAACCAACCGAGTCACACCAGCCAGGGCTAGTGGGGCGTTTTTCACAATGTGATGTCTAAAATTCTGTAAAATTCTCCTGCCACCCGAACCGTCCACCAGCATAGTGTTCTTAATTTCCTACAAACAGAAATAAAGCAAATGCTTATTTCACAGATACCAGGATCAACATATTTTATTTCCTATTCTCATTTCAAGCTAAGGAGAGTCATCCAGCTGGTAACACTAGAATTTGTAAGTCAACTCAATCCAAGATGTGATATTTGTTCCTTTAAAGTGTGGAAATCAAGAGCTATTCCTGCGAATAATCCATCCACCAAGAATCTATATTCATCTGGTACTTTTCCTCATAACATGCTCTCCCCCTCTCCCCCCATACAGCTTTAAAAAATAATAAATACCAGCTTCTTCATCACTCCCCCAATGAGCTCTCCATCCGCGTGGCCAATGTGACTCCGCACGACGAAGGCATGTACACGTGTTTACATTACAGCCGCTCCGTGAGGACAACAAAGGCGGTGAAAGTGGTGGTGCTGGGTGAGTGCCTCACAGCAAGGGAGTGCCTCACAGCGGGGCGCCGGGAGGGAGGGGGCCGAGCAAGAACATTACATGTCTTTTCTAAACTTAACATTTTAGTTTTAAAAGGTTCCCTCCAGCTATGACCTGGGCACCTCTGCCATCTTTTGTTGGAAGGAAACAGAAAGGAACACTTTGAGTTGCAAGCCCTTAGATCAGTGGTTCTCAACCTGTGGGTCGCAACCCCTTTGGCGGTTGAACGGCCCTTTCACAGGGGTCGCCTAAGACCATCCTGCATATCAGATATTTACATTATGATTCATAACAGTAACAACATTACAGTTATGGAGTAGCAACGAAAATAATTTAATGGCTGGGTCACAACATGAGGAACTGTATTTAAAGGGCCAGAAGGTTGAGAACCACTGCCTTGGATTAAAATGTGAATTCATGAAAGTTGTCTTTGGACTCAACTAAGTTTTCTCTCTTGGGAACTAAAAAAGAGAATTAATATTTGATGACCTGTGACTAGGCTCCAGGGGATCAGAGGTGAACTGGGCACCACCTCTGCTCACAAGGCCCTCGCACACTCGTTCCGGAGGGCAAAGCGTGTGTAAAGAAAGTAGAGCATTATGACAGCAATGAAGTCAGATGTGACTGCACTGGAAAATCAGCTCACATCCTCTGCCCAAACCATTTCCTCTCTCTTGCAGGGGGTGGGGGTGGGGGTGTGGAGGGGGGACTGAGGAGGAGTGACAGCCTCCTGACCCAGCAGACCTGGCTCAGCTCTGGGTGTCACTTTTGGCAGGCTCACGTCCACTATCTTTACCTGCCGGCTTTCTCTGTGGGAGAACAGCTGAATCAACAACGTAATTCCCCATGTCATACCAATGAACTCACGGTTCTCTTACTGAGTTAGTATGTGCGGTGCCATCCGTAAAGTAATGGCATGGTGACAAAGTGTCAGGAAAGGGGTGGCTCCTGGGGCAGACCAATGTGCTCAGCCCAGGGCCTTCTGTCCCCCTCGCTGGCCACCGCACAGCACTCCGCTCAGGCTGTCTGTGTGTCCTCCTGGCAATCATAGCACCTGTGCACACCTCCGTCATTGCACTGTAACACGTGATCCTTTTTCCCCACGTGATCTTTTCATGAACAGTTTGGGGTGGAGTTTATCACTAAACTACTAGTTCGGCATCTAACACATCGAACCACACTTGGCGCTGGCTTCCCAACGCCTGGATGGCAGGTGGATGCGTAAATGAATGTGAAGAGCACAGGTCTGGACCAACGTGTGAAGTAAAATGGGAAGAGCGAGAGACTAACTACAAAGTATGTCCAAGGCAGGAGCAGGAAGAAAGAGATCCAGGAGCCCTTTGTAAGACACATGGTCTTTGATGTTGGAAGAGAGAAGTAACTTGTGGTGAAGTGAGTCATAGACTCAGGAAGTTTAGAGCTTAAACAGCCAACTTATAACCCAATTTCTTCATGTCACAGATCAGGAAATTGATAAACCAAAACATCGGACAACTAACCCAAGTTCTTACAACTAGTTGGTGACAAAGGTGGAGCTAGAATTCAGGACTCTATTCCTCACCTAGTGCTCAACCAGTCAACACAGTCTTATATCAAAGGTGAAGCATTGCTTTTGTAAGAGAGTCAGTTGGAGAATTCCCAGGGACTAATCACATGCTGGGCAGCAACCATCTGACTCTCGCCAAGTAGCTGCGCAGGCACAGCAAACTCTTAACTCTGTTCTGGGAGCGGTCAGGTGGAGATATGCCATGACTCAGCCCAGACCCACAGTGACCCCTGTGAGCAGGCTCCGGGCTTCCTGAGATATGCGGACCAGCTAACTCAGCACAGAAAACTCGTTTTTTTTCTAGCAACTCCTCTCAAGTCAACCCTGGAAGCCTCCATTATCAGAATGCAAAACAGGGAAGAGCAGGTGGTACTGACGTGCTCCACGGTGAGGAGCAGGCCCCCCCCACAGATAACCTGGCAGCTGGGGAACCACACGGAGCTCCCAGGTGAGTGCAGACCCTTGGCTCCCCTCCGGGTTTACCTCCTAAACGATTCTGTGAATGGTTTGGCGCCCCCTGGTGGCAGGAAGTGTCAGAAAACACCATTCAATAATTTTCTGTTCCTTATAACCAATCGCTGTTACGTTTTAATCTTGGAAGGCTAATCACAAATAACATTATAACACTAGAGGCCTGGTGCACAAAAATTTGTGCACTCGTGGGGGGAGGTCCCTCAGCCCGGCCTATGCCCTCTTGCAGTCTGGGACCCCTTGGAGGATGTTCACCTGCTGGCTTAGGCCTGCTCCCTGGGGGAT